CCAACCTTTCTCTGAGGGGGAGTTAAGGCAGACAGAAGCCAGGGATGAGATGTGGAGGGAATTCTCAGTACAGCGCAGCTTGCTGGAACTGGAGTGGCTGTGGAACAGGGCTGGAAGAACACCTGGGAATACAGAGCTTGCCCCAGTTGGGGGCAGGCAGGGGTGAGCACAGCCTGCCCCCTCAGCCCAGCTGAGGACCTAAACTATAAGGTGGTTAGAGACTGGAAGAACAAACTCCACTGCAGGTAAATAAGTCAGATGATGTTTAAAACACAGGAAAAAAAATGTTTTAAAAATAAGCAGAATGCCACAGGGCCAAAACCCAAAGTATCTCCGACTTTAGTGGGCTACAGCTCTTGTAGTGAAAACACGGGTGGCTCTGATGGCCAGGATCCTCCCGAGGCAGCTCACTTGCGGCTTTTGTACCTAATGACGGCCTTGGTGCCCTTGGACACTGCGTGTGTTCCAATCTCCCCAGGCAGCATCAGGTGCACAGTGCTCTGGAAGGCCTTGGAGCTGAAGGCCCAGTGATTGCTGTAAAGGGCCAGGTGGGTGGCCTCTTCCACGATGCGCTGGGAGATGTCATTCAGAAAACAGTTTATGACACCCAAGGCCTCCCATGAAATGCCAAGTTCAGTTTTTGAAGAGGTATCTGTGCTATACCTCAGTTATACCTAAGTGGTCTCCAAATCTGTGGATAAAGTTTTAAGCCCCAAAGACAGACTCAATAATAATGATTGATGTTACTGTAGGAAGACAATGGGTCCTTTTTCCTGAAAACTGTGAATTGAGCCTGATAATTCTTGGCTTCCTTGTGCTCCATTGCTGTCAGTCTCCTGTACCTACCCCAGTCTCTGGCAACCATTTATCTTCTTTCTATCATTCATTATAATATCGCTTTTTCCACAATTTTATAAAAGTGGAGTCATGAAGCACCTATAGTGTTTGGCTTCTTTCACTTAACTTAATGCTTTTCAGATTCACACATTTTTATTGTATAATATTCCCTTGTGTGATGGCGTAGTGCCTAAGGCATTTGACTGCTAAACAGAAGGCTGGCAGTTCAAGTCCACCAGCCACTCCTTGGAAGGAAGGTTGGGCTAACTACTTTTGTAGTGATACTGCCTCGGAAACCCAAGGAGGGGTAGCTATGAGTTGGATCTGACTCCACGGCAATGAGTTTTGTTTGCTTTGGTTTTGTGTGGATAAACTAAAATTTAATTAACAGTTTATCAATTCATGGACTTTTTTATACCTATTTTTCAGTTATTATGAATAAAGTTGTTTTAACACTCATATATACATGTCGTTATATGTTTAATTTCTTTAAATTTTTTTAAAAAAACAGCAAAACCTGAGAAATACAGAACTTGTTATAAGGAATAAAGGTGAATATATGTGTAAAATATTTACCAGTTTTACAGGAAATATTTTTGGAAATAGCTACCCTTTCCCTCTTGGGAAAGTTGGGAAACACACAGCCTGGCATAGGCTGTTATCTTATCACATCATTACTCACAAGGGCTCTCTGCCTGCTCCTTCCTTACTCCTGAGATGCCAGCTGTTTCAGACATCAAGATTGAGTAGATAAGAAGGAGAAAGATCCCTTGTTTGGCTTGGCAAAGTGCTTGGGGGCGTATGATTCCTATTTGAGCTTCTGAAGGAACTCTTGAGGTGCTGCACTGGGCAATCTTCTAGATTGTCAGCTCTTCTTTCTACCTGTCCTTCATCTTCCATCCATGGAGTAGTACTGGATGTGAGATGGTGGGGGTTGATTAGCCCCATTGCACTTCATCCATTCTTTCCAGAGCAGTCCTTTGTCTCCCTGCTGGGCTGGGGCTTTGTCCATCTCTAGGAGCTGCAAGGTTAGCAGAACTAACTGGTTTTGCAAGCTAGATGATCCCAGACACTCCACGGTTGCCAAACCCAAACATGTTTTGACCTGCCAGCTGCCTGTATTCATAACCAGGGCTAATCTACCACCCTCAAGTCAAAAATTCATACCCACCTGAACCGGTGCCCAGATGGCAAAGATTGGCAAGCTTCAGAAAGGAACATTTACCTGTCTTTTGGAAACCCATTTATGTGTCTACACTGGGCAGGCGACTGAGGATTAAAGGGCATACAAAGCCTGGCATGTAATAAATGAATTATGGTATGATTAATATTGTTACTATTTTTGATGTCAGTGCTTGACAGAAGCAAGGATTTCTCAACAAGTTACTCTTTTGTTCCTACTTCTGAAAGAACTCAAAGAGGATGAGGCAGTTTCCCAAATAACAGATAGGGCCGCATCAAGCCTGGAGTGTGTGTGCTGCTCCCTCTTTGTCCTCCTCCTTGAGTTTTGGGATGATCACAGGGGACCAAAGTTTGAGGCTCTTGAGACAGCAAGAGGAATCTAGTAATCTAGGTGCTGAGGAAAACACACCATATTGGCATGTGTATGGTCGGTAAAGCCATTCTGTGTATTAGAAGAATGAGGTGAGCCGGTGGAAGCGTGAGGTAGGTTTCCCTCCTAGAGCCTTATTGCCCATTCTCCCCACATCCTCTGCTCCTTCCATATTGGACTGCTTTCCGTTCCCTAGAGATGTCTTTTGCTTTCTAAAACTATCTTTGAAGTTTCTCTGACGATCCCTATAAAATCACAAAGATTTGATATTTCAGCTTATAACAAGCAAAGTGCTAGAAATGATTGGGTCCGTTTGATACGTCACTATTGATGAGTTGCATAGGAAGAAGTATCAAATCAGAAGAGGTGCTCAGCCCAACCTGGATTAAACTTGTATGGAAAAAAATGTATATAATACAAACATATCAAAAATTATATAAACAAACAAATTCACTGCCGTGGAGTCGGATCCGACTCATAGCGACCCCACCTTGGGTTTCCCGGGCGGTATCACTACGGAAGTAGATTGCCCAACCTTCCTTCCGAGGAGTGTCTGGTGGGTTTGAACCGCCAGCCTTCTGGTTAGCAGTCAAATGCTTTAGGTGCTACGTCACCAGATCTCCCCCCAAATTATACACTACATGGCAAATACTGAGAGATTTCTGAATGCCCTCGCTCTCCACGCTATGTCTGCTATCAGAGTCCTGGTGGTGCTTTGCCTGAGGATGTTAAGCAGCAACAGTACAGTGTTCAAGGTCCTGACTCAGTTAGTATTTTAAGGGCTACCTTGGCCAAAACCTTACTTCTTCTTCATCTTTTTAATTTACTTTTATTGTGGTGAAAACATACACACCAAGACATTCACCAACTTAACACCTTCTACATTGACAGGTCAGGAACATTGATGACATTTTTCTTGTGCCACCATTATCACAACTTTACTTCTTCATTTGATTCTAGCATCTTCGAGGTCAAATGGTCTTCCACGGAGGATACACATCAGACATACTATAAACCAGAAAACCAAATTCACTGCCATTGAGTGGATTCCAGCTGATAGCAACCCTCGTTGTGTTTCCGAGGCTGTAAATCCTTACGGAAGTAGACCACCCCACCTTCCTTCCACGGAGCTGCTGGTGGGTTTGAACTGCTGACCTTCTGGTTAGCAGCTAGATGCCTTATCCACACACGGCCACCAGAGCTCCTTAAACGTACTGCAGAGTTTGATTAAAATACAGATGTTTAGGGCCTGCTTCAGACTTCCTGAAACTCATTACTTGAAATTCTTGATAATCTCTTGATATAGATTCTTATTGAATGCCTCACTTCTAAAGTGTTTTTTTTTTTTTTTCTTTTTCTTTTTTTTTTCCTCCAAACAGTGAGAACGTAGGAATCTTTTAGGCCGGCTAATAAGCTTTCATTTCTGATTGGTTGATAGGACTATCCAATCACATTGAGTTGGTGTTGCTTAATGACAGGCTTCCCCCGCACTGCATTTTTAACCAATAGGAAGCTGTACTGAGCCATGCCATCAGTGAACAGAAGGTCTACGCACTGGCAGACCCTTGGTAACCAGCCGCCATTCTATTTCCTTCGAAGTACCAGAACCCTCTTCTGACGTTTGCCTTAGCAGGAGGGAATCCAAGAAAGCTGGCTCTAAGAGTCAGAAGCAGAAGACGCAAAAGTGATAGTGATGCCACAGTGACAGATTTTTTCATCTTTATTTACAGGGTCCCGAAGCAGGTTCATGCTGAACTTGGCATTTCACGGAAGGCCTTGGGTGTCATAAACTGTTTTCTGAATGACATCTCCCAGCGCATCGTGGAAGAG